GCAGCGGCGGTTTCAGGGATTCCTCTCCGTCGACATCTCTGGCAGAGGGTCCAGTTTCACAGCTCCGTGTCCGTCTCTCCCTCGCATCGTGCTGCCAAGATGACTGAAGCTGGAAATCACATGCGGCTGGTTTAACGCGCGCGTCAATCGACTCCGTTTACCCAAAGGCACCCGCACAACTCTGGATCCATAAATATTACATGCTTCTACTTTCTTTTTAATATACTGTTTCTAGGGACGTCTGCTGCTCTTTGCAACACCACACTCGTTTGCAAGACACACAGACATCTCACAAAAGCGTTTTTCTTCCTTATCCCCCCCTGCCAATTACTATTTGCGTGCACTGCGGTCCTGTGTGTGTTTGTGTGTGTGTGTGTGTGTGTGTGAGAGAGAGAGAGATTCGGGATTCATACCAAGGCTTGCCCGCTTACAGATGAGATCTGCAGCAAAGGAAAAAGGAATATTTGATTTGTTTCAATGCATAACCCATAACTTCAAAGTTATTTTCACATTCAAGGCCAGTGTGTGTGTGTGTGTGTGTGTGCGTGTGTGTGTGTAGGTGTAGTGTGTTATAACTTCACTGAGCCAAATGGCATTTAAAAGAAAAAGAAGAAGAGCATGCGTGGATTTTCTCAGTCTTGTACAGTCAGACTCTCATGACTCACTTTACGTTGTCAATGAACACACTCTTGTCCCCTCCCCCCCCATACACTCACACACTGTGCATATGTGTTCAGTCACTCTGTAGTATTTGGACTCATTCCCCGAGGCCCTCGCGTGAGCAGCTGCGCGAGGCTGACCAGGTGCACCTCATTTTCCATGCTGTCATCATGCCAGCTGAGGACTTCCTGCTGTTTGCCCGCATGATGCAAGTTGGCTCTTCTGACGTTTCATTGTTGCCTACCAACCTGAGCAGCGCGTCATAGACAGCTCTTATTCATAAACCGAGGAGCACGTGGGCATGGCATGATCAGGTCTCTTATTGTGAAAGGGTTGTTCACTCGAGGCTTGAAACCTCCTATAGCTACTCTCCTGGTTGTCTGCTGACTCTCAGTCACACTTTACTTTAGCAACCTGCTAGTGTCTTCCACTGTGAGGCTTTCCAATCCCTGCCCTCCCTAATGGCTTAACTGTGACCCATTAGCAAATCAAAGCTAGTTCGCAGCCAGATTATGGCTCTTGAATTGCCTTCAGGTCTCAACAGAGGCCTACAGAGTGTTACATTTGATAGTATTTATTTAGTTTTAAATACTGTGGCCTTTATTTGACAGGGACAGCTGGAGAGAATACAGGAAATGTGGGAGATGGAGAGAGGGGATGACATGTAGCAAAGGGCCGCAGCCTGGAACTGCACCTTAACTGCAGGACTCAACCTTGGTACATGGGGCACAGCTGCCATGGCTCCCCTATATTCATTTTATGGTACCTTCAATCAATCTGACCTGGCTGTTTCGTCTTAATCTCCCAATCTGATCCTGATATGCTGGATCGGGATCTGCACCGATGCTGAGTCTATGAAGTGGACTGAGTATCAGTCACGATGCATCCACAATAAATACAGTTTCCTTTTCAAATTCAGAGTTTCTGTTCAGTTACATGTCTGGGCTGTCATCTCAGAGCCTTAGCAATCATTCTAAATCTGGGAGAAACAGAGCATTGGTATCAGATCTGTACTTGTTATCGCCACGCAGCCTGATTTCGAAATCGAGATCGGCATCAGAAAAGAAGAACGTTGGATTAGTGCATCCCTATTTTTTCAATCGGCTTCTCACTATGAGCAATGGCTTCCTACATTTGCCAAACTTGGATCAGTTTTGGTTGTTTCACATGAAATATTTCTGGTCTTTTATTGGTTTAAACTGGGCGGGACTCAGTTGGAAAAAGCTGACACATACTTTAATGCACTAATCAGCAATCAGTAACATTTGAATGTGTTAAAGGTCCCGTGTGTAACATTTCGACGGAATAACTGGCAGAAATGGTTTATGAAATATTCAAATGAAATTTAATTGAATTTGTTTAACATGTAACAAAAATGTCATTTGTCAGTCTAGATTATCTTTAAGATATTGGTACACACAGGCAAAGCAGCAGCTAACATGTGGAAACATTTATCAATGGATGCTTTCCCAAGCTAGTGTTCTTTAATTAAGGGAGGCCTTGATCTGATAAGCCTGTTAAGGTCCAATGTGTAACATCTGTTGGCAGAAATGGAATATGTCATTCACAGGTATCTTTTCATTAGTGTATAATCACCCAAATATAGGAAT